GGCCGCACGCTGTCACCAGCGCTCAGCAGCCCCAGCGTGTCCAGCAGGCACTGCACGAAGCGCGTGACAAAGACCGTGTCCTCGGCGTCACGGCGCCGCTCTGGCTCGTGGCACCGCGCGTGGCCCAGCAGGTGCGTCAGACCGAAGTCCTTGCAGGTGATGCGGCCGTCGCCGTCACAGTCCTGCCGGCGGCGCGCGCGCGCTGTGAGGGCACGGGCCGGGTCGGGCACCGTCGCACTGGTGGTGGGCCGTCTCACCGGGTGGTGCGGGGCTGAAGGTGTGACATGAGTAGCGAGTGGTGAGTGGTGTGACAGGTGTGGCAGGTGTGGCGAGAGGTGTGGCAGGTGTGGCGAGTGGTGTGACAAGTGTGACGGGTGGTGTGACAGGTGTGGCGAGCGATGTGACATGTGTCATGAGGCTAATTGTCCTTTGGATGCTATGCGTATGCTGCGGTACAAGCCTTGAGGACACTTGTAAAAATATAAGTCTCAGTGGGGACGTAACGCGGCGAAACCAAGTAAACAACGGTGGTCAGGGAGTTTAAGATGAGTCCATATTGATGTCACAGTGCTCATTTTCGGGAGGGGGTACTCTTATGAGCTTGGAATATAGACAGGCAGCATTGACGAACACCTGCAAATATCAGGTTCGGCAAAACAATGGCATCCTCACTTACTTCTGCAGCGACTTCGAACAGGTACACTGAGGCGTAATGGCCCAGTGGATAGCGCACCAGACTCCAACATGGGGCCCCGGATTCGCACCCCGATTGCGCCATGGTCCCTGAGCACTAATATGGCAAATGCAGTCGCTGGCGCCCCGTAAAAGAGACATGCATCGCGTTCCCTTAAAAGAAGATAGTTGTCCCGAAGCCAAAATGGTCGTAGTCTTTTACCAAAGGCCGTGCTTTGTTGTACCGTGTGCCGTACCCATTATATTGTACACTTCGATCAACAATCTTCAATCGATCAACTTACACCTAATGCTGCTTGAAATATCAAGTAGTTATCCATCTAACGTATGTAAATTGTTGAATTTGCTCTTGGGAGACAGCTTGGTCATCCTCTTTTTACCAGATCAGATCACGTTTGACATCAGTTCCAAACAGCCCTGCGTATGCAACGAGGCAGCGTTATGCTCATGAAGTCCTGCGCTCCAAATCCACCCACACTGCAGCTTCAATCTGCATTGGAAGACGTCTGCTCAAAACAGTAGGCTCCGTACTTTGCATGTCAAATTGGCTGCGATTTGGTTCAGATAATCGAGTGTCCCTGACGAATACGGCTGGTGTTGTGCCGCAGCTCCGAGCGATATCGCGGTCCTGCGACACGAGGTGCCGGCCGTTCCGGGAGATTACAGTCGGATGAAGTCTAAGCCGAGTCCAAGGTTATCAGTCCGGGCTGGCTGGTGGACAGTCATAAAACATCGCCTCTGGGTAAAATAAAGCTCTTTCGCGCCAACTGCACGCGGCACATCGCCATCAGGAATACACCGTGCTCTAAGCATCACGTGCATCACGTTTTTTTTTACAATTTTTAGTTGTTTTTGGCGCGTTCAGTGCGATTTCGACCAACTAAGAGGCGTGCTGGCGGCTGACGCTATATACATTGCGAGCCGCCGCTTTCGGCGCTGTCCGCTGCTCACCGTCGGGTGCCTGGAAAGGTAGCGTGTCACCGCCTCGCCCGCACAGCCGACGTCTTTGGCGCACGTCAGGTAATCTGAAACGAGGCAGAGGTCACTCGTCGACCCGATGAGACGGCAAAATCCTGCGATGGATGCGGCTGCGTGTGTAATGCATTACGGCCTCTCTACTAAACCCAAAGACAGGCTAAACGTGCATGGCTGAACATTTACAAAAAAAGAAGTGACGCTTGTGAATCACCGCGAGAGGACTCGCAAGATGCAAGGTATTTTTCTAAACATAAAGCCTATAGACCCAACCTTAAGCTGAGAAAAGGTAAGGCTGGGAGGGGCTTGACCTAAAAAATCATAGCGCCCCATACATGCCCTGTGTGGTCCCAAATCCCAGCTTCGTGCCAACGACGTCTGTTCATGTCAGTAACACCACCGCTAAAAAAGAGGTCGGGCAAAACACCTGCAGGGTCTCAGCATGTACGCTGGAGCAAATGTCAGATAAAATACGCGGTCTCCGGTCTACCACGGTGGCCGCTAAAGCTCTGGCACGAAACGCCCGCGCTCCAGTCTCTCACCATAGCTGCTGAAGCGCTGGTCGGCCGTCACGTTCGAGTCGAGCCAGAAGTTCTCGGTCATGTAGAACGGGCCGCAGAAGGAGCGGCCGCCGACCTGCCTGCACTGGGCGCCGAGGTCGCAGTCGCTGGAGGCGACACACAAGCAGGACAGGCAGTACCGGTCCGGCGCCACAGTCCGCTGCAACAGGACCGGGCGCACGTCACAGCCGACACGGAACTGGCCGGCAGCGTCTGGTGTGTCGTCTATTCTGGGAAGGTCAGCGCTCATGACTCGGACCGCGGACAATGACGGTGTCCGAGACCCGTCGGCTGGACTCGGCTCGGCTCCCGTCACCACTGGCTCTGAAGGTGATTGTGCAGCCGATCGCCGCAGACGACCTACCGCAACTGCCATCGATTGGCTAAGCCTGTCTAGATGATGCTGTACACGTGTAAACAACAAACACATGCAGGCAAGCTGTCGCTGCGGTACAGAGTCACCAGGGCGCCGGTCTTGACTGGCCACAGACAGCAGTGGCCAATGCTATAAAAAAGAACGCCCCCGACGTTCTTTTTTATAACACTGGCCTCAGCCGGCTCAGACTTCAAAGGTCAGTGGGTTCGAATCCTACTTAACGCGTCGTATTTTCTCGGCAAGTTGGCATAGGTTCACCACCACTAATACGCCGTGACCAAATTGTGCCGTGCTGCAGAGAACGCGGGCGGCGGCGTCAGATGCCACACAAGCCAACCTCGCAAAATACTCTGATCCGTCCCCTCCTCGACCAAACAACTCGTAGGATTAAATCAAAGTAAAACGTGGTATTTGTGGCAATGCCGTTTACACTTAAGAGGAAAGGCTTTTGCACATCAAGCTTCGCATACTGCCAAATCCCGGCAAGAATGGCGCTCTAGACCAGAAACTCAAGGACTGCATCCAAACCGAGAAGAGTATTCCTACAGAGAATGGCATCAACAGCTCGCTCATCCTGTGTAGCAGGTATCAGAAGTTTGAGGTCCCCGGGACAGCGACGAGGTGTGGCAAGCATTCCTGACGTTTCGAAGCCACTCCTGGGCGCAACAATGGAGCGTGTCATCAGCCAGGCAAGCTGGGTTTAGCCCCGTCGGTTCTGCGTAAATCCCTCCTCTTTGGGAAAAGTGCCAGTATTTCTGGAGGACCATGCGTCGCATAGCGTCCTTGGTAGATGACAATCTCACCACGCGGCATTCGGTGCGTTAATCGCAGACAGCAAGATGCTCAGGCCTCTAACCTTACGAACGGACCGCAAAAATGGTGAATACGTAAATATCACTCGGCAGGCCAAGCAAGGTGAGGCCTAGGCTTCTTCGGCATGGTTTTGCGCGATTTCCTGCGGCTGTAGCGACTTAGGCACTCCATATAGTAAGATATGGCCTTTTTTGAAGAAATGCATGCTTAAACTGCTATTAACTGAGACCCGAACCTTATAATTAAAGTCGCCCGTGCGTGCGATCCACACGAAATAACTCAGAGCTCACGAAAACGCATGCATTTTCCAGATCTTGTGCGCCCCTCAAGTAACCTAAACAACGTTGGCTGTGGCAGAGGGCTGCACGTGTAAACAGTACATCCTGTAGGGCCTTAACATGTGTACAAGTCGGCCCATTAAACAGAAAGAGTCGGCGTGCTAAATAGCCGTCCAATACACATTCGTAAAGCCTGGAATGTGATCGTCAAGCTACGATGCAAACCGCACCAGACGCTTATTTAGGGAACACACAACGGCGATCAAGGCCATCGCTCAGGTAAGCCCGAAATTTTCGAGAACATGCAACACAAGTCACTCACAGGCCTACGCGCAGCATGCTCGGCCAGCTGCAGGTGCTGGCAGTGCCGGCACCGAACGCCGTCACTCACCACTGGTCTGAGCGCCGACGAGAGCCGACCCCAGGAGCACCAGCAGCAGCAGCAGCGGGCCGACCCGGTCCCCCGACATCCTCACGGCTGGCGCAACAGCGGCCCACTGACTCCGGCCCGCCGTCTGCAGCTGGCTGGAATCGGCGGGCATCCCCTGTACCAGACCGGTCTGACGCACCGGCCGGCTGCCGCGGCAGCGACGCCGCGGTACCGATACTGCAGGACATTATGTGAGATGGGGACGTCGCGGTACCCACACTACAGGACCCTGAATGAGGTGGAAACGGCGCGGTACCCACACTACAGGGCGCTGTGTAATGTAGAAGCGCCCGGTACCCACACAGCAGGGACGCTGTGTGAGGTAGCGACGCCATGGTGCCCACACTGCGGGACGCTGTGTGATGTGGAAACGCCGCGGTACCCACACAGCAGGGACGCTGTGTGAGGTAGCGACGCCATGGTGCCCACACTGCGGGACGCTGTGTGATGTGGAAACGCCGCGGTACCCACACAGCGGGGACGCTGTGTGAGGTAGCGGCGCCACGGTACCCACACGCTGCAGGACGCTGTGTGAGGAGGAGACGCCGGGTTACCAACACTGAGGGCAGAGGCGGATCAAAGAGGGCATAGCATGATTCTCCATTGGATCTCGAAGGGACTCATAGGCTCCAAAAGGGCCCAAAACAGGTCGAACAAGTGCAGTTTTTCAAACACAAAACGAAACAAAATTTGATGTCTGGGCTACCAGGCGATCAAGAACAATCGCAAGCAAAAATGAAGGGCTCACGAGCAGATAAAAATAATTTTTTCGCCATTGAGGAGCTGGTGATTGGGACATTTTAAGGATCGCTACGCTGTCCGGGGACCCTGTGCTGATTTCCGCGGGACCTATATGCCCACTTGCAAGGTCAATCCGATCGGTAAGGAGCCTTCCACACTGCACTTGATTTCTTTGCATTTGATCGGAGAGCCCTGCACTGCTGTTGGGCCCCTCTTGCTAGCGTGCCGGGGAGCTCTTGGCAAGCAGGGACATTCCACAGGGTTTCCCGTTCGCCCAAAAGGCTCTGTATGCTATGGCCAGGGGCCCCCATATGCTAACCTGCCGGGGTACTCTCGGCTGCTCAGGGGTCCTTCACGTTGGTCTCGGTTTACTTACCGACACACTCAATATGCTCGTGGGCCCGCTACATTGGTCTAGGACCCTTCCAATTCTGTCACTTGCTTAGGGCCGTACTCTCTCGTCGGGGGCTCATCTGTTAACGTGCTTGAGCTCATCCGGCCCTTCGGAGCCCTCCAAATTGGGTCTTGGGTACTTTCTCTTAAATGGAGGGCCATACACATTTGCCGGAGCCCCATCTGTTAACCTACTCAGGTACACTGGATTGTTTTGGGGCCCTGCACATTGGGCAATTCAGTGTATGGCACCGCACTCCTGTCGGGGTTCATCTGTTAGCCTCCTCGGGTACTCTCGATCTTTCAGGAACCCTCCACACTGAATTTGGGTGTTTGTTGCTTGAATGAAGGACCCTACGCTCTCATCGGGGTCCTATCTGATAACCCGCTCAGTCACACCCTGTCGTTCGATGGCTCTCTATTTTGGGTTTGGGTGCTTCTTATTGGAATGTAGGACGCTACACTCCTATCGGGAGCCATCTCACAACTTGCTCGGACTCCCTCCATCTTTCGGAACCCTCCGCACCGGGTTTTGGGGTATTTCCTATTTAGATAAAGTACCCTACGCTCTTGTCGAGCCCCCCCCCCCCCCCCATCTGTAAACCCGCCCGGTTCCACTCGATCAGTCCGGGACCCTGAATGTTGTGTACTTCCTGTTTGAAGGGATGACCCTATGTTCCTGGCGGGGTTCCATCAATTAAGTTGCTCGGGCCGGGAGCGGATACAAAGGGTGGGGGTTGAGGGGGGGGAAGCACGGAACTACGTCCCCCTTGTGCCCCGAGGAGATCCATAGGCTCCGAAAGGCCCATAGGGATATTTTGGGGCTTATTACGCTGTGCAGAGGCCTTGTGCTGTCGCCCTGTCTCTATATGTCCACTTGCCGGGTAGTCTGATCGCTAAGGAGCCTCCGCATTGTCCCTGATCTGTGCATTTTCTTGTAGGGCCTACGCTGCTGCTAGGACACTATCTGCATACATGCTGACATGCGTGGTGCTTGCATCTTGATCGATCAGGCTTTCCTCCGCGGATTCTTCCCATGCGCCCTGAAGGTTGTAAACGCTTTTCTGGGGCTCCATATGCCGGGGTACAGGCAATTACTCATGGGCCCTTCGCACTGATGTCGAGTTCTTTCCATTTGCTCAGAGGGCCTTTTGCTGTTGCTGAGGCTCATATAAGGTAAGGAACCAAGTCACGCGATGCTCAGGGGCCCTCTACTTTGGTCGAGGGCTCTTGCCCTTTGATCTCATTTGCGGAGTATCCTTCGCTCCTATCGGGGCCGTTTCTGTTAACCTGCCGGGCAGCCTTTATCGCACAGGGGCATTAATTCATTACATTGATCTTCGGTAGTAGTAATTTGCTGAGAGGGCCTGTGTTCTGGCCGGGGCACCACCGGTCCTTCAGGGGCGCTCCACGGTGGTCTTGGGTTCTTCTCGCTTGCTCTAAGGACGCTATACTTGTTGACCTTGTTGACCTTGTATACTTGAGCCTCTTTGTCGGCTTCCCGTAGCACCCATGATCGCTCAGGCCTCCCTATAAGCCTTGGTACCTCAGCCTTAGGGGAGCAGTCAGATATGCAACGAATGATTTTTACGTGCAATTGTCGAACATAATTTTACGTGCCGCCGACGTCCCATGTGTCATTTGCCTTGGCTATTGAATGTGCCACGCTTATGATACTTGTGCATCACGTTCTTAATGCATTTTAACGCCAGAATATTTGGGGCTCCTTTTTATCGAAGGAAAAACTCCGCGTTGGTCATTAGCCATCAGCTGATCACATCGACCAGCCGGCTAGCCGTAAATAAGCCCAGAATCAAGGCATACTTTGTTTTTATGACATATTGCATCCAAACTGAATTAATTTTTCGTGATTTTTCGAAATACTTAGCCTTTAAGACAGAATGCACAGTGATTTAGAGAAAATGAATGAGCTCCGTGTAAGTGCATACGTCACACGCCAACCTTCTAGGGCTGCGCCCGAGATGGGTTCCCATGTTATATATATATATATATATATATATATATATATATATATATATATATATATATATATATATGCTTTTATGCTATTATTTATGGATAAATATGCTATATTTATGCTTTTCATGCTAGGATATCAGGTACGGTACTGAAGACATATGTATATTTAGTACCATACCTTACTGATGTCTAATATGACATATTGATGTTTAATATGTATATATTGACACATGTATGCAGCATACTGTCTTCTGTACAAGTGTTGTTAAGGACATTGATGTAGGTGCATTTAATACGTTTTTCCGCACTTGCCCAAGGCTCCTGATTGCGGTTGTCTGGTCATCATGGAAGCTAAAAATGTGACTCGCCGATATTTACCATCTATTGCCTGGCCTGACGTTTCGAAATTACATTGTCCATTTTCAAAGGTACCCACGTACAACATGAAAGCGACGAATATATAATTGCAAGTTACATTTAGCTGTAATTGCAGTTAAGTATAACAGATAAAATCTTACTGGTTATACCTAACCTTACCTACTTCATGTCTTACTGGTTATACTGAACTGTAACGTGTAATCATATATTCGTTGTTTGTATGTTTTATGTGTGTACCTTTGAAAACGGAAAACGCAATTCCGAAACATCAGCCCAACCAGTGTACGTCAAGCATCGGCAAGTTACTTTTAAGTCTCAATAATGAACGGAGAACCGTGATCAGAAAACTAGGGCAAGCGCAGAAAAAGCTTATGAAATGCACCTACGTCAAGGTCTATAACAATGCATATAAATGTAAATGTATATATATATATATATATATATATATATATATATAAAATGCCATATAACTATTTATCTTGAAATTGAACGGCCGAAATGCAAAGATCTTTAAAGCAGGTCCCAAACTCCAGGGCCCCACAATGTTGCGCCCCCCCCCCCCCCCACCTCCCGACGAAATCCTTGATCTGCCCCTGCTGGGGGACGCCGTGTGAGGTGGTGACGTGGCGGTACCGACTCTTTGGGGTATCGTGCAAAGCGTTTCCACAATCGGGCCACGTTTTAGACTTGAACACATGGTCATGTGTCCAGGAAGATGTGTGGCGGGGTGGCAGGGTGGCGGGGTGAGTGGTGGGGCGGGGTGAGTAGCGCCATCTGAGTGGCGGGACCCAGCATCAACTTGTAACATGCCCGGATTTGGTGGATATCTAAGACCCTATTCTTCTTTTTCTAGGCCGAATCGTCCCAAATTCGAATGAAAAGAAAGCTCTAAACAAGATACAGCAGGAATGTCTTTGCGTTCTGGAGCGCGGTGATACTTGGTCAACTCTGTTTTCCCTGGCGTATAATTTACACATAGGCGCTTCTGACTCTGAGTGGTGTGAGCATTTTGGTGGCGCATTCGCGGTAATTAAACAAAGAAACAGCTTGGCAACATTTTCCCTCGCCTATTGGCTTGCTAGTTCTACCGCTGTTGCAGCCACCGCACCCCGTGCTGGCTGTCCCGCTGGCATGAGAATAACACGCTGCCGTAGAGCCTTTTGCCTGTCCTTTACGCCGTTTTACCTGGGCGGCATTGCCATCAGCCACCCAGCTGGTCGTTGGTCGTTTATCGCCAGTTATCTCGTTGTGCGGTACACGCTGTCGCAACCGACAACTGCCAGCTACTATGAACGCCACATCCTCATCACTGAAACGCCATCCCGTTCAAGCCACACCGGCCAGCAGGGACGAAATCTCACTAGACACGACTGCCACCGCTCTGCCAAAGGCGACTCGGCGTGAGGGGTTCGCTGCACAGATTGCATCGCCGGATTCGCTGCCAAAACAGAGCACGCTGCTTGCCAATCGAAAGCGTCGTTATCCCAGCTGGGTCATGGTCTTGTGCTGCGTTGCAGTCGCCCGCTTGCACGAATTGCCGGCCGAGTAGCGGAACGGAGCATTCGTACCACATTGGGCGATCTGACACGACGGGAATGGCAGCGCTCACCAATAAAGTGATCCGCAACAGGCTGCCGAAGCCCGCTCGCGTGGTGTCCAACCGTTGGGACCGCTCTGGTATCTTGCATAGCGATGAGGTTAAGGAGGGCTTTGCTGGGAATACAAAAAAGTTTAAAAAAGACGTTTTCTCAACGTAATACTCCTTTCCTGAAGTCACTTGGCGCATCACTTTAGCAAGGCGCTTTAAGGCACTTATGTATGGGCTTATGCTTGTACATAGCCTACTACTTACGAGCTTATCTTTGTTCACAACTTACCCACTGTCATGATTCCTAGCAACACATGCCGATTCACTTACCTTCTATTATAACGGTCGACACGCCTGACAGAGCTAACAACGGCCGAGTCGACAGACAAAACACACGTACAATGTTCACCTGTGCAAGGCTGTAGCAACAATGCACCCATATGAGACACCGGGTCTATAGTCCGCACACCAGTGAACGCCATGGAGGCTTAACACGCAGCACGCGCAAAATGTAAATAACGCAGGCACATACAGTGGCACACGATTTAAACCCCAAATCTACATATATATTTCCTCTATGACAATTTCCGGTTGGTACGAAACAACCGTTATCCTTTCATTCAAATGGGCGTCAGGGATTACGCTAAGCGGTATGCTCCTGAAAAACCTTGGCCCGGGTCAGTTTACGTCAGTGATCTGAGCTGACATTTAAAAAGTAAATGCCACATTGCTGCTGCTGCCCCCTCCACTAGCAAATTCAAGGTGAACACCAAATACTACCCCATAGAGTAAGCTCCCGAGTAAAAGTGCAGGTTAGTTTTGAGCTCAATCTGACCTTTATACCTGACCTCAGATAAATGGATTGCCATTCTAAATTCAGTTGATGTGTTGCAGAAGAAACCATTTCAGATATGTACGACCTCGTCTAACATAACGTTATCACATCAGATTCAACGATACTCTAGAAATGGCCTTCACTGACGATCGCGGCGCCAGCTCACCATCACCGTCATACCCACCTGTCCGGAACGCCGCCGTCCCCAGATAATCACATGATCCCCCGCCGGCACCGAGCGCCTCCCCCCCCCCCCCCCCCATCAGCTTCCACGTCTCAGCGCGGGCCTCCTGTCCAGCGCGTCCAGCTGGCACCGCGCCCCCGACCGAGTCAGCCACACAATCGGGGCCCACCGGTGCAACAGGTCAAGCGCTGGCCGAAAACGCCCAACGCTGCTACGTCGCTTCAGCCGCTGAGTGGAATGCACAATCCATGTCCGATCCCGGCCTGCCGAGGAGTTACTTTGATAGGTAGCAGGTTCACAACGTCCACACAAATGATACTTAACCAAGGGAACAGGCGAGTCCCTGGGCGCTCGCGATGGCGACGTCTACTTCTGGCTAATCCTCTCTGCTCCGTCCACACCTCCCACATGTCGACTGTAAATACAAAATTTATTTCTATCTGGGAGACTCGTCCAGTCATGACCGCACACAATGGCCGCCAAGGGCGTCACTCCGGCGACGAAATGCATAAGCGTAAGCAGTGCGGGAATCTCCTCTGCACGCGCACCCGCGCGAACACTCGGCGCACGCGTGCCCAGGTACAACGGTCGGCGTGGAAATGAAGCGAGCGGAGCTGGTGCCGGCCGCCGGCCCCGCTCCGGCGTGGCGCGGTCACGACTCCGCCAAAGGACGGCTGTTGAGATGGTGATGGTCTAGTCTTTGTTGATCCTTTCTATTTCGTCCACGTCTTCCACGTCCAGCTTGTGAATTTTCCGCCCTGAAAACGGACACGGTAATTACGAACGCTGGAATGTACAGGTATAGGTGCCTCGATATTCCGTTAATTCCTCTTGACGAAAGATGTCAGTGGTCGGACGACAGGTAATGCTAATCCTTGCCACGTCGCTCAAGCTGCATAGTTCAAATCACGACGGTAAGATGGGAGGTCGTGATATCAACCAGACCTGACTCGTCCCACCGGCTAGCATTTTACAGCCGTTTCGGTCGGCGCCCCGGCCGCCGTGCGTCACGGTCGGGTCAAGCCACGGCCCACTGGCGGTGGTAGGCCGACCGCCACCGGAGCACGGCTCAATGAGCGGGTCACCGAGTCACCGGTCAGCGGGTCACAGGTCACCGGTCACCGGGTCACAGGTCACCGGTCACCAGATCACAAGTCACCGGTCACCGAGCCGGCTCGTGCCGGACGCCACCCACGGCAGGTGGCGCGCCTCCGAACGGCGCACGGCCAGGCCGATCCGGAGACAGGACGTGACACGAACAGTGGTCCGGACCTCAGCACCGAGTACTCTCAGCGGCGGGGTCAGCCTTGGGCACTTACCAGAGCAAATACGGAAATTGCCAAGCGCAAATAGCTTACGCGACAATAGCCGAAAACGACAATTCTCCCGGCACCACAACTGACCAAATATCCGCATCGGCCCTGGCTTTAGAAGTACAGGTGTTTCGGGGCGCCGACCAGCGGCGATTGACCAAACTGAAGTGTTGAAAGAGCACACCAGGGCCACGCAGCGACGCCTGACCGAAGTGTCACGAGACCGTAGCCGTCGGCGCCCGGCCACTGACCGAAGTGCTGCACGATCTGCTGGAGGACGGCGTTGCTGGAGCGCCGGCCGTCCACCAGGTTGATGGCGATGCCGGCCTTGCCGAAGCGGCCGGTCCGCCCGATCCTGTGCAGGTACGTCTCGCAGTCGGCGGCGCCCGTCTGGTCCACCGGCAGGTCGAAGTTGACCACGATCGTCACCTGCTCCACGTCGATGCCTGCCGGACAGCGCCAGGCGCGGCCTTGGCTCAGAGTGACGGGCGCAAACGCGACCACGTCCAGCGTCCACCCCATGTGCCATACCAGCACTGCGTATACGCACTTTGATGCACTCACCAAAATGCACTTTGCACTCGCAAAATGTGCCTTGATGCGCTCGTCAAAGTACATAAACTGAATGCCGCTCGTGTTTTTAAAAGACCCAGGGTGCACAGGTCAAATGTTGAAACAATAAATTTGTCATACGTCGCCCGCCGCGAGCCCACGACCACCCATCCTCCGCGTCGCAGTCTATCATATTCAAGCTCTCCCCCATCTCCCGCCCCCCTCAATGTCTAAAAACGCGACCGAAGCCCAAGCCCCAGTACGCAGCTGCCAAGCCCACGTGACACCGACAGGACAGGGAGTGGGCGGAGACGGCGGTTGAACTGGAGGGTGAGCCGCCCCGCTGAACAAGACCTCTTATCAGCACCCCAGCAGCCCTGTGACGGCCAGTCAGCTCCGCAGCCGGTCACCACCGAGCTCTCTCACCAACCGGCAGTGTCCGTCCCCACTGACATCTCTCCAACCACCCAGCGGTATCCGTCCCCACTGACATCCCTCCAACCACCCAGCGGTATCCGTCCCCACTGACATCCCTCCAACCACCCGGTAGTGGCCGTCCCCGCTCCCATCCCCCCCTCCCCAACCAACCAGCAGTGTCCGTCCCTGTAACCACCTGGCAGTGGCCACCCCCACCGACATTCCTCCAACCACCCAGCGGCGTCCGTCCCCGCTTCCATCCCTCCAGCCAATCACGGCGCTCGATTCCACCCCACCCCCGTCCGACTCCCACACCCGAGCTCCAACCAGGCCCCGCCCGGCCGGCCGGAGCGTCGTCTCACCGCGCGACAGCACGTTGGTAGTGATGAGTATCTTCTCCTTGCCGTCGCGGAAGCGGTCCAGCACGCTGATGCGCTGCTCGACCGTCAACTCGCCGGAGAGCAGCGCCACGCTGTGGCCGTCCTGGATCATCTTGTTGGAGAGCCAGGAGGCGGTCCGCTTCGTCTGCCGGCGCCGCGGGCGGACGCGGTCACGGGACGCCGAGGTCAGGCCGGGTCGCGGTGACAGGTCACGCCGGATCACGGGACGGTGAGGTCAGGCCGGCCACGGGACGGCGGGGTCAGGCCGGATCGCGGTGACAGGTCACGCCAGGTCACGGAACGGTGAGGTCAGGTCGGGTCGCGGTGACGGGTCACGCCGGGTCACGGTCACAACAGGTGGGACTACGCCAGCCGGAGCGGGGCGTTGGTTCAGACTAGGGGTGCCGGTTGGATTACAAACTTTCGTAATGGCAAAAATTAAAAGCCCAATTTGGAATTGGACGGACGGGGCAGTAATCCTAGCCATTTTGTGGGCAACCGATATGCTGCCCACAAAATTCCACACTTCTCAGCAATTGTTTGCTGCAAAACATAATTTAGTCGTGTCGCAACTTGGTATGCATACCATTCTGAGCCAAGTTCAAATTGGAATTCATTTGAACCTTGGATTGGATAAGTTCTTCCCGAAAACGGCACCTCTCGTTGAAACGCGATACGTTCCACCGCCAGCACACGCGAGGCTGGGCCAGCGGCCGGAAGGAGCCAACCGCGCTGCCGCCCGCGCGGCACGGTACGCCACACGAAGGCGTGACGCGGACCGGGTCGAGGTCAGGCGTCGCCGGTGAGGTCAGGCGCGGGCGCCGCACCGCCGACCGAGCCTCTGGCGGGCGACGGCGACGTGGTCATGCGGCGTCCCGTGGGCACCGTTATGCCAGTATGCCAGTTCTTACCGCGTCAGCATGCTGACGCGGTAAGAGGTGCCCGTGTTGATCCCTATCAACTCCCCACCGGAACTGTGGCTTTTGCACGGGGCGATGCGAACCACAGTGTGCAGGTTCGGGTTGCTTATGAGACTGACGGCCGAGGCAAGGTCAAATAAAGGGAAATCACAGACGCACGGGCCCTTTCCCTTCTGCAAGCATCACTGATCTTTGTGAGCACAAGATGTAGCGGCTTGTATGACTGACAACAGAACTGTCACACCGAAGCCATGTACGCGCGTGGCTGCACGAATACCATTGCCACCCGGTCGGCGCTTCATGCAAGGCTGTGCCAAACGACGCGACAACGCCTCTCTGGTGGTGCAGTCACTCCCGCGCCTTCCCGGGAAGGCTGGGATCAACCCTCAGCGGCGGTCCCAGCGCAGCTGAGCGGCGGGCTCTGGCTGACCCGCGCTACAAGATGATGACGGGGTGATAGCGCTCACGTGGCAGAAGATGATGGCCTGGCCGATGGTGATGACGCCGTAGATGTTGGAGATGGCCTGGTACTTGGCCTCCTCGGACTGACAATCCACGTAGTACTGCTTGATGTTATCCAAGCTCTCTTCCTCTCTGGCCACAGCAGCAAGGATACGTGTTGGGAGCTTATACCATCCGATGGCCCAGTGCACATCGCATACATCAGCCGGTCGGCTCGCCCGATGTTCCGATGCAGAACCATGGCGATGCGGCCCGGCCGGCTGCCTCTCGCAACATTAACTCTGCACCAGCATGGTGACAGTGACAAGGAATGACATATTTCTGGGCGACCAAAACGTCTCATGACGAGTGACTACACCATCAGCCGTCACAGTTCACTGCTTAAAGCCACGCCAGCAGACCCATACATCCATCAGTGGACCTGATCAACTCCTTACCGTTTCAATTTAATGATGACTGGGTTTGACACGATGGCCTCTGCGAAGTTCATCACCTCCGTGTTGTAAGTGGCAGAGAAGAACAGCATCTGACACGACTTCGGCACCATCCTGAAATCGAGCATACCAGCCACTTAGAAAGCAACAGACAGCAGAAGATCGCGGCCACCTTTGACGACCGACCACTTAAAAGTGACACAAGCGACATTCTGCGATTACCTCGAATATGATAACAACGCCATGCGTGACGTATACAATGCCTCACCAACAGATGGCAGTGGCGCCTACGGACCGGGGAACAAGACGCCACCCTCAGCCGCCAAGCAGCACATGTCTGCAATGCTCACATTCACGTGGCGGACAGACCCCTGCAAAGGCGGCATCGCGCGCCATCTGAGCGCGACACCAGTTTGTGTCCTGAGCTTCCGACAGCCCCACCGCGGCCGGAGGCCACCACCTACTTGTGTATCCGGATGCTCTGGTCCTGGTGGCCCTGCAGCGAGATCATCACGTCCGCCTCGTCCAGCACGAACACCGAGATCTTCTTGATGTCGAAGAAACGGAACTTGATGCCCCAGTCGAGCACCTTGCCCGGGGTACCGATGACGATGTGCTCGTCCAGGTGCGAGCCGCGCGCCACTGCCAGAGGTGCGGGGAGTCACCAGCCGCCAGGTGCCGCCGTGACGAGCGTTACATCCAGCCCGGGAACCGTGACGGATATATCAGCCAGGGGTACTGGACCGATGACGATGTGCTCGTCCAGGTGCGAGCCGCGCGCCACTGCCAGAGGGACGGGGAGTCACCAGCCGCCAGGTGCCGCCGTGACGAGCGTTACATCCAGCCCGGGGAACCGTGACGGATATATCAGCCAGGGGTACTGGACTGTGCGTCGAGTACGATGACACCGGCATATGACTGATCTGTTCTTCTACCAATGCTTTGATGACGTTGTCAGTAGTGAGGCACATTATCCGCAAAATTCCACCACACATTTTATCACTGAGCAACACACTGCAGAAATCGGGTCCCGTGGGCACTGACAGCAACTATTGCTGCCGAGCAGCATCCCATGTCTGGCGTACGTCTCCGACACACGCAGCGCTGCTCCGGCAATCCACACATGCCCTGACGCTAGCGATACTCAGGCACCTGTGCATGCTTGGCATACGACTTGGACAACCCCCAGACGTGCTCCGTTATACTGGAATCCCGCCGCCATATGCTGTAGGACTCAGGCATGCTTAGGTGGGTGATCGGGGCGCTAGACACCCAGAGACATCTGGCAGCGGCCTCAGACACCATGTCTGCCTCATGACGCCCCGCCGACGTTGGGCATAAGACGTCACCCCAAATGCCTGACTTACGCCCCATGTCGCTGAGGTCTGATAACATTCACCCACCCACAGATGTCTGGAATTCGACTCAGCACCGTGCGCATCGGACATCAGCCCCCGCTTTCTGTCGGCAGACCAGGACGCCCGCCGCCGTCTGGCGAGACTCTGACGTCCGCAGAAGGCGGCGGTCCGACCCGGCGTCCGGCCCAGCTCGGCTCGGCTCGGCTCCGACAGACGCGCGCGACTCACGCTCCTCGCCGCGCACGGCGAACTTGATCCTGATGTCGGGGCAGTACTGGGCCATCTTCTGCGCCACGTCCCCCGTCTGCAGCGCCAGCTCGTACGTCGGGGAGAGGCAGAGCACCTGCCGTCCAGCCGGAGGTCAAGGTCGCCGTCACCAAGCGACCGCCCGCCGGCCGCCGGCAGCACCGACCGCCTGACGACAGTACTGCCATGGCTCCAACGGGTGGGCGTATACCATCACCAGCACTCCACGATCGCCTGACACACGAACGCGTACCACTGCAGTGCAACATCAATACCAAAAGGTTACAGCACACGGAACGGACGGCCGGTCTCAACAAAAGTTGCGTATTTACTCAACACACCGTGGCGACGCCGCAGCTCGCCCTGCGGAAGTCAGTGCCGCTCGCCTCCGCGTGCCGCGCGGCTGCGCACCAGGTTAGCGCGAGGGCCGCACTGGCGGGCGCGCCTCCCGTCCGGCGGCGAGGCCGCACTGCCTACCTGCGGGTAGTTCTTGGTGATGTCCACCCGGCTGAGCATGGCCAGCACGAAGGCGGCCGTCTTGCCCGTGCCGGACTGCGACTGAGCGATCAGGTTCTGCGGGCTGCGGGGGCGGAGCCGGGTCATCGCGGGACACGCCCCGGCGGCTGATACCGACACGCGGTCCGCCAGTCACGTGCGGCGGCGTAGCTTGGGCGCGCCGAGTCATCATGCGATCGTACAGCTATGTACTGAGAGCGCACCATGGCCCAATCAGTCAGCCGTCCACACATACTCATACCGTACATACTCTAAACAAATAACCCGCACACATGGTGCACATAGGATCGGACGGGGTGCACGGAACATTGAACCCAACGTGCTGTCTGCCTGCAGCTCTGGCACTGCATATCTACTCACGATGGGCTCTTTTGTGAGGATATTTTTCAGCCAACGATCTCACGAACTTCCAAATCCCAGCATAGCAATGCTGCATCCGCTTAAGATAACGATCAAGTCCGATCGCTACCTTGGCAGCAGTGCCCACTGACGAAGCCCTGAAGCTCTACTCCCCCCCCCCCCATGCTCGTCTCCCACCTGCTGTCATGGCCGCCAGCCCAGTCCAACAGGTCACCCCAGCCCGCCCAGACGAACCCCGCGCACTCACGGGTCAGCCAGCAGGATCGGCAGCGCCATCTCCTGGATCTTGGAGGGCGCGTTGAAGCCCATGGCGTAGACGCCCTTGAGCAGCTCCGGCCGCCTGGCGATCAGGGACGGACACTCAGGAGGGCACTCGTAGGACACTTAAGACACTCAGGCAGCCACCCAGGGCACTCCGGTGGACACTGAGGATACTCGGACATACACTCGACGTGTCCCGACTCTGGGCCGAGTGCCGCGGACGGCAGCCGGGACAGCCGGGACTCCGCGGCAACCGGGATTTACATGCCACTGGGTCACAAACTACACGATCTACCATGCTGAAGTCAAAAGGCCTCCAGCAATAAAATCATCCAGCATTGCGATATGTGAGTGATGGCGCATGGTAACAGATCACTGTATTGTAGATGATTCGTTTGGTTGTATATCTGCAAAAGGACGCAAGGCGTCGGCATTTTTCCTTGACGCGTTACCACAGTTGGCTGCCCCGCGGCACCAGTTCTCAGGAGTTTTGAGAGCCACACCCGCCAGGCCTCGAGTCCTGCGCTCACAGATTAAGGGCCTCGAACGACTTGATGGAGTACAGCGGCGAGTTGGGGTCTGAGCGCTGCACCTCGATGTCATTCTTGTTCTTGATGAGCCCGGTCCTGATCACCTTCTGCAGCAGGGACGAGTCGGCCGCCGAGCCCACGTCATCGGCAGCGCCGTTCTCGGCGGCCGGAGCGTCGCCGGCGCCCAGCTGAAGGCCGCCCACCTGGCGGTGAACCCGGGCAGTCACTGACTCATGCTCTCACGACGCCCGCCGTCTGTGGCCGACTGGTGGTCATGACGTAACATCGGCGGTGCGCAGCAGACTGGCTATAACGTCGGCGGTCCACCACAGACTGACCACAACGTCGGTGGTCCACCACGGACTGACCGCAACGTCGGTGGTCCACCACAGACTGGCCACAGCGTCTGTGGTCCACTGCAGACTGACCACAATGTTGGTAATACACCACAGACTGGTCACAACGTCGGCGGTCCACCACGGACTGGCCACATCATTAGCGGTTCACCACAGACTGACCACACTGTCGGTGGTCCGCCGCAGACTGACCACGATATCTGTGGTCTACCACAGACTGACCACAACATTGGTGGTATGCCACAGACTGGCTACAATGTCAGTGGCCCACCACAGACTGACCACAACATTGGCAGTCTGCCACAGACTGGCTGCAGTATCAGTGGTCCATTACAGACTAATCACGACCTTGGTGGTCTTCCACTGACTGACCACAATGTTGGCAGTCTATCACAGACCAAATACAACCCTGGCTGACTGCCACAGACCGACTGGCATACCTGCAGTCAATTTCAAGCAACAAATGCTGATCTCAATGCATGCTGAGCATAGTAATACTGAAGTGCTCAACACAGAATATGTTGAAATCCATTCAAACAAAAGTATTTACATGATAGTTTCTCAACTGCCATTTCACAAAACAATAGGCATATTGTGAACCACTACCCACCATGACCTACGCAAACAGCAAACATCAGCTACAAACCTTTGAGGAGAGCACTGATTCCTGCTTGTCAGCAGACTGAGCCCAGTCATCTGCGAGAGACATTCTACCTGCAACATGTCAACATGTGTCAATTATGAAGGCCTGACCTGATGCAAACTTGATTTATGACATAACAATGCTAGTAATTCATGGTTCATGAACTAGCCTACCTGAGGAAAATCACCTCATTTTCTGCATCTGAACTAGTGTAAACTTGCCCAAAGACAGCTCTGGGGATAAATATATACATTTATGACAATCATGATGAAACATTCTCATAGCTGAACAACCATATGGGGAGAATGCATCACACAGTAAGAGCTGAAAATGTGTTGCAGTGCCCAAGTTCTGTATTTCAGCTGTCCTATAGCATGAAGAGTGAGGTTCGTGCTCATGAGATAGGACAGTAAAACTTGCACAATGATCACAGTTTATGCTAAACCTAACTGTTCTAAATGTTATCAAATAGGCAGATTCAGCAGAAACCTCAAACAAACTGTAGGGAGTCACAGAATCACATTGCAACTGGGCTAGAATTCAATGCAAAAAGTAAGACTGCCACTGTCTGCCCACACACCAGTCTGCAATAAATCCATCCTCTGCCTGGAATGGTTACATAATGTCAGTGCACTGAGCCTGGAGCATGTGTGCCAAATTGATGTAAGGCCAAGTTGCACTGAATTTTCAACCCTCCTTTGGTTGAAAATTCAGTGCAATTTAGCCTTACCTCAAATAAATCAATGTCTCTCTTGAAAAAATCAGAATCCCTTTATCTAAAATTACATCAACAACATCATAATTCATTGAACAACTAACTGCATTGTTTAAAAGCACTTAAATTAATGGTGAATGTACCAAACTTCAGGCTCTTACTCATGCTGAGCATGTGGTAAAATTATTGTTAGGATGTCACTACTATGCCAGACATATTCAAATAAAGTGTAATTCTGTCATTCCAGCCTCTAGACAACAAAGTTAAGCTTCAACCTAGTTTACCTTCAGTACATCACATCGCCATGTCTACCGCCCTGCCAGATCCCTACAGTCAACATAAGCTTTGTCTTAAAATAAGCAAAAAACATCTTGAGCTACTTTGTTGGCAGCATATATGTAGAATTAGCCGTCGATACTCGATCTTCACTGAGCAATCATGTCAGCCATCAAATAAACGTATACGGCATTTTGGATCGCTCATACACCTGAAAGACTAGATCAATTTGAATGGTACACGACTGCCCCCCATAACCATGCCTTCATGCTATATATTGGAACCAACCTTTTATCTAGGATACCGGCACACTCATACACACCCAACCTTCCAGTCCTTAAAGCTTTGCTAAACAAATCTGTATGAGGTCCCGGTCCACCTTTATTGTGATGCTAATTGCCGACGCAAACACGCACGATATCCGTGTGACTCAAATGTGACTCAAATGCGACGATATAGGATGAGTCATGTGGGATGTCCGACTCTGAAACGTAGTGCAAAATATAAGAACTACCGGAAAACGTTACGGGCTGCCCGGATACAGAATTTGATATGGTCTAAATCCCAAATTGTACTCTTGACGAGTGCACAAAACAACCGTGGCGTACTGTAACGTTTAAAGACCTCTGATTAAGTAAAGCATGCCGGCCCATAGTGTACTGAAAACGGTCGAGTTCTTACGTTCTGTTCCAACACCACCGTCACTGCCCACCCGCCCTACTCGCCGGATTTGACTGTCTGTGACTTTTTCGTCTTCTCCAAGATCAAGCTCACGTCGAAGGATCCGGCGTGACACCACGGTCAGCTCATGTAAGCGGCCCATTCAAAAACTCAAAATGTGATGGGTGGAGGACCTTCCTGCCGTGAACACATCCATATGTTTCAATGCCTAGGGAATACGGTAGTTCAGCACGTCTTTAATTCGCATCTCTTGTATCGGTACATCGACTCAGGTATATCGAACGTGGCTCATCGATTGCAGTACCCTACATTGTAATTCGAATACGTAAATATGTTTTTGTTTGCAAGGCAACAGCCAAAGATGGAAAATTTTGAACCCACGTAAGTTAAGAACATCACATAATTCACGTTGTCACTTCTGTTCACACAATCACAATCGTAATCACAAGCATTTGCAAGGAACATCATGCATGTAAAAAGTAGCGTTTTTAACCTTGCTCCTCGTAGAACAGTCAGGACAATGGCGAGATAGATAGGTTGATATTTCGACTACACGGTTTTATCGAAACGAATATCAGTCCCGTGTTCGTTTCGATTAAAGCACGTAGCCGAAATATCGACGCATCCATCTCTCCATTCTCCAGGATCTTCTACGATAAATATGGCCATTAGCACTGCCTTATCAATTTCGAGCTTTGTTGACCCATGAGTCACAACGTTTATGACCTCTATACTCCATACTTTCTCCTCCGGTAAATCAACTGAGTCGAATGGTGTGCTTTTGGTTACATGGGAAGTTAAGAAAAAAGTTTTTCTGCCAGCGCTCAAAAACGGAACATACTACCTTTGATGACTGATCCCTAGGTACCACATACGTAATGACCTATACCCTCCACGCTCGTAAGCCTCCAGTAAACCGACCAGAGCGCGGCACTGGTCTACATTTTATGGTGATCAAGGTTAATGAAAGTGGTGTTTTCAGTCGCCCCGGCACATCAACGTGGGCAATTCTTATTCTGATTGTTCACTCTTGTGTCGCGAGACAAATGGCCCACATGTTTCATACTTGCTCGTCTCCTGTAAATCGCGTATGCCGCGTCATCGTAATCAGACTGAAGGGCTGCGTTTGATTGGACGTATCAACATCCAAAAATGCCAAATTTTGACAAGTCTTCCTCGCACCTTCGCCTCTTGTAAATTCGCTACGGCGTGTCGATATGTGCACATTGCATTGTGTCCAGGGAAAATATAATTTTTAGACGGCGTGGCAGCGGCCGAAGACTTAAAATGTGACCTTTGCTAGGCCTTAGGCCACGATATTCATCATCAACAAGTTCCATACTTGTTTGTCTCCGGCAAGTCGGCAACGTGTGTTAAGGTTCACGAAGCAGGGAGGAATGCGTATGAGCTCGCTTGTGCCAAATTTTGAGATAGGTCATCAGGTCACGGGCCTGGTAGATCAGGTCACAATACCCTCTGACCGTTGGGCCAAATAAAGGCAAACTTCACATCGGCATTCGGAGTGACTCCAGAGCTCCTCATCCAACCGCCTTAACCCTAGAGACCTGTTTTAAGCAAAAGAACACTGTTGATCATTTCGGGTCAGTGACCTTATTCGAATTTAGACGGTCATGATGACCAAAAATCTATTAAGAACCTAAATATCCTATAAGCCTAAACCAAGCTATTTATATTTTTAAGACATGAGTATCAATAAATACATTAGACGGTGGATTAAAAAACCGTGAATGAATGTGTTAGACGTTATGTTCCCAAAGAACGGTTGACATAGGTTGTTTTAGGTCAGAGACCTCCTCTGTCCTGCAAGAAGTTCATATAAAATGTCTGTTGACGTCCCTTTGATTAAGAAATTCGAGAGAAGCATATCTGCCACTTAAAGCTCGTTCTCCATTGACAAAGGAGCTCAGATTTGACATCGGTATGTAAAGTTGGGCGTGGCTACGCCGCGCCAAAAGTTGGTCGTTAATGTAGCTGGAGTCCTATAGAAAGGTGCATTTGTCGTATATACACCTACCTAGGATAGAACGGCTACACCGCACCGGTCAAAAATTATTCTGGAAAATCTTCGGGGAGGGTCAGACTGATTCACGACCCGAGTGCGTGTTAATAGTAAGTTGGTACGTGGTGATCCTATTAAAAGCACGCGTATGCTTACACCGTGCTCGCAGTAAATTCATCCTCAACGTTGTTTCACAATGTATTTTTATGTGTCTAATGCAAGCCGTTTGGTTTCAACCTAAATCCCATAAGGGTATTGCTCGATGTGACATGTTGATGCCATGACAAAATATGAAGTTTGAAAATTCTCTACGGTGACAAATTAAGCCAAAAATTGTATACATCCCTCGCATGTACATAATGTCGTAATTTGAATAAAGCGGCACTGTTTTGCTGCGGAAGGGGGCACCGCAGCTAAGGACAATAGCAAAATTGGAGTAGTTTGTGTAATTGGGTCGGGTGGCTTGACCCCCAAACCTGGTTGCTGAATCCGTTAAACCAGCAGTGAGCGGGCTCCTCAGCGGCACACCATTGACCGGAGGGGGCAGATTTGAACCCCCCACCTTTCTCAAGAACGACACGGCCAAATTCAAAATTCATACAGTAGTAGATAGCACCGCGGTGTGCGGTCTGAAACCACACACAGCGTTCCGTTTTGCTGTACCAAACAACAACAAAAGCTTAAGTCTAAGTGTGTGTTCAGATTGCAGATCAAGGTCAAATCTTAAAATGTTTCTTTGAAATATCCGGCCTCCCCACAACGCATTTCACTTATAAGCGTACCTCACGGCGTGAAATCGTTACGCCCTGATCAAAGATGCTACGTAGGAAGGTATCTAATGACAGGCGCGCCTTACCATGCTGGAGCCAAGGTCACATGCCGCCCAAATGAGAGCTAAAACCGTCGTCTACGTCTTTTTTGGCCTATTTATTGTCGTCATATTTGAACAATCTAAGCGCGAATTATGGCTATCAGGCACGTGAGCAAGAGCTGTTGTCGAAAATCGGTAAACATGACGCCACTTTGACGTCACTCACGCTTAATTTGTTATGGTCTCCTTCCAGTTATAACTGCACAAGGCATAGAACTCATCAATTAACAGCCACTGAAACATCCGCTGCGATACCTCAAGGTGTTTTTGAAGTATCACGAATATTGCACAGGGAGGGGGTGGGGTGGGGGTGGTGGATAGATTTGACCCTCCCCTGGTCAATGACGGGTTAATTCAGCCGGAAATTTACCTCTTGATTGAAACATACGTTTCTCGCATGTAGCTGTGCACCTACCAATACTAGACCCCTCCTTCTCCTCGTCATAGAAAGTCGTGGCTGCTCTCACAAGATAAAAGTCGTAAAAGCAGCTGAACGGATGAGCGATGCAATAAGCCTTACACAACTAGGTTACACCACAAGATACGCATGGGTTTGCGAGGTTTAGCGGAAAACTCTGAAGTACAGGGATGACCTAAGTCCTTCATGGCTAACCCTATCCCCAAACCCCACAACCAAACATGCGTGCTGCCTCTCATGGCCGCTATAGAAGAGCGCCTTCGGCGCCCTAAGGTGACCTCCAAAGGAGCGCCTTCACTTGCCGATCAGAAGGGGCACGTGTGTCCATTGTCTGCTCGCTGGATCTACCTCTGCGTGACTAGCATGCTACTTAAATTAAAGACCTAAATTTTACCAAAATTAGAGGCATATATTGCCGTACAGCCAAATAAAGAGGGCTAAATCCAGTAAGACAGAATGAAGGGTAGGTTGTCGGCCCCTCGATTCAGCCCCCAATAATTTCCCAAAATGAACACCCCTGCCCAGGAGTGCGAGACGTGGCATGTGACACTCGATGCTGATCGGACCGAGACCAGCATCACATCCCGTTCCTGAAGTCGTCCCACTGCGAGGACCTGATGACGGTGCATCCATCTCTGTAGCCTCGGCATGCTGAAATGTCTGGAGGCTGGGAAGCAGAGAGGCGAGCCCGTAATCATTGGCCAGCAGTTGACCGAGTGACCCTATGCATAAGATGTCAGAACGTGACAGCGTACGAAGCATGCCTTTGGCCCTATCGAGTAGGAGCCAACATCTACTGAAACAGTAAACGGGTCGCCTTGGAACACACAACACGAGGACTTGATCCAAATCTAAGCGCTAATGTTGACATATCCGTTGCTGATTACAGCTTGCAACAGACGCTCGATCCGCCGCCTCCCAGCGTACCGAAATGCCTGCCGTGGTGAAGATTCTGTTCGGATGCTATGATACAAGATGTGGCACGGGAAACCAGATGATGCTTCCCCGTGCCCGTGTCGAATTCGTTTTTCGCCAGGCAGACTCCACGTGACGTTTCGTGCGGTGTATTGCCACTCATGAGTGTCCCGGTTGGCAGGAGTGACGCGTATGGAATGTCGTCGCTGGCCATGTTAGCATGGGCACATCTCTTTTACATTCACCATGATAATAGAACAATGTCCACCTATTTGTGAGGCCGTTTCCAGCGCGAGAAGTCACACACCGCCGGCGCCGCTCAGACCACCCGGTTGCGGATGGTGCCGATGCCTTCAATCTCACACTCGACGACATCACCGCGCTGCAGGAACTGCGGTGGCTTCATGAACACGCCGACGCCGGGCGGCGTGCCTGTCAAGATGACGTCGCCGGGCAACAGGGTCAGGCACTGCGAGATGTGCGCCACCACCTGGTGACAGTCGAACACCAGCTGGCGCGTGGTGCTGTTCTGGCGCGTGGCGCCGTTGACGCGGCAGGCGAGCGCCAGAGCGTGAGGCTCGAGCGCGTCGGCCGTCACCAGGCTCGGCCCGAGCGGGCAGAACGTGTCCATGGCCTTGCCGAGCAGCCACTGACCGCCGTTGCGGTGCAGCTGCCAGTCCCGCGCCGAGACGTCGTGCGCCACCGTGTAGCCGAAGATGTAGTCGGCGGCCTGCTCCCGGCTGACGGCCCGGCAGCGCTGCCCGATCACCACGGCCAGCTCCACCTCCCAGTCCAGCTGGCTCGTCGCCGACGGCAGCACGATGTCGTCCGCCGGGCCGACGATGCAGCTCGGGAACTTGTTGAACACCACCGGCTCGGTGGGCACCGGCTGGTTTTGCTCGGCGCAGTGGTCCACGTAATTCATGCCGATGCAGAGCACCTTGTCGGGTCGCGTCACCGGCGCGCGCAGCTGGACCTCGGCCAGCGGCACCGTTGGTGCTGAGCTCTCAGCGGCGCGTAGCAGCTCTCGCACGTGCGCCGGCGTCCCCAGCTCCAGCAGCTGCACGGTGCTGGTCGGCAGCGTCTCCTCAGAGAGCAGCTTCACTGCCTTGTCGCCGTCCGTCAGCAGCCCCAGCCGACTCCGTGCTTGGTAAGTGCACTGCACCAGCTTCATGGCTCCTGCTGTCGTGTCCGCGTCCCTGACTTCCTCGTGCGGTGAGATTTCCTCGCCCTGCGCCACGGAGCAGTCGCCCCCTGCTGCCTCGGAGACCAGAGACCTGCGAGTGAGCGCGTCGCTAGGGGGCCGCCTGGCCCGGCCTGGCGCGGTCCTCAGTTCAAGGCCACAGAGCCGCCGATGGCTCGCCCGATAAACAGACTGCCAGCCCCTCCCGCTCGCAGGCGCGTTGATATTCCACTCAGTGTAGGCCAACAGAGATGTCCTGCGATGGGAGGGTCCGTCCTGTGGTGGGTTTGCTCACGGCGACAGCGAGCTACATGTTCCTCCACGCGACGGAGTAACCTTGTCTGTGCTGGGCTGTCGCTCTGTACAGCGGCCCGTCGAATGTCAAGCTGCAGGATAACACACAGAACCATCGCGGCTGGTTTGTCCGCGAATCGCCGTCGGTCCGATCGCTCGAGACTCTGACCAGACCAGAGGATCGGCCATCGCTGCTGACAATAATGTAGCTGAACTGTCTTCGGCTGCCAGTCTGGAGCCCAAGTTTTTGCGGTGCGAGTACCCCCATGTCACGGCATGCTCTAAACACGTGGTGCTACGCAGAATGTGCCACGAGTGTCACGACATGATTCTGGGATATCCCGTGATGCTGTTCCCCTGATTTTGGAGTGAGGACACCAGCAGTACAATCCGTATGTTGCGTTTTGTACCGAACCCGTGCCATCAGCCACGATGCATCTCGGGACCGGCTCTGTGGTAAACACACACAACTGAGACGGCAGTGGCTCTGGCCCTGGCTCTGTGTCTGGTGCTGTCGCGAATGACGACGTGACCTTTGGGCTCACGTGCTCCCGCCGCCTTGTGCCACGATGGTATAGCGAATGCAAATAACCATACGCACCGGCGATATGGCTACGGCTCCGTTTTCAGTTTCGTTGTCGTTTGTTACTGTTTTGTAACAAACGGCCGGACACTAATTGGCTGGACCCGACACATTGCTGGACAGGAAAAGTGAGCAACTTACTGCGATTGCTCCCTCCGCATGGTAGCTAAGCATTTATTTTCTTATTTGCAGTATGCTCGATGCAGTTCATGCAGTCGTATATTACCCAGATACATTTCAGGCAAGTAATCTGTTATATCATCACAATAACTCCCCAGCAGGAGACCAACAGCACTGCTTGTTAGTCATCTGCTTCAAAATGGTACAAACATAGCTTCAGCGAGCTTCATTGTCAACACTTTACAAAGAACGGCAATGCAGACATACTAACTACATCGGCGAGCTCTCGTGGTATCAGCAGCCACTCCAGGCAAGGTCGACACAAGTCGTGTGGGCTCCCAGCCAGACTATCAGCCGCGCGCAGCGCCGTGATCACAAACACCACTGATCGAGCCCGCTCAAGTCTCAGTGGAACCACACGGTGGCGACATCTCGCGAGGTGACCCGCAGTCACGTGACGTCGCCGGCTGCCGCCGCCGGACGCTGCGCGGTGTCACGCGGTCAGGTCAGCTCCTGGACGTAGGTGGCGGGGAAGATGCCGACGGTGCCGTTCAACTCACCCAGCCACCAGCCGTCCTCCTGCTTGTCGTGCATGTTGATGACGTCACTTGGGCACAGCGGACGAGGTCAGCCCCAGTGCGGCGGGATCCGGGGCAACAGAACCGCAGAAGGCAATAACATGAGTTGGACTATTGGACATGCCGAACCATTTCGTCCCATAGTGATACATTACACTTAAGCTCCAGCTGTATCTCGTAAGGCAGGCGTTCGGTCGTCTTCGCACGCGAATGATTGAAGGCTTTGGGTCGGACGACGACTCGTGCAACTGATCTGGACAACATCGTCGCAGTCATTCGCGTCGATGGAGCCGGGAAACAAAAGCACAACCGGCAGTGCTCCCGCTTTCTTCCCGAAGTCCGTTACTCCTTCCCTCAGCAAGCCATAAACAGAAACGACGGAACAGCCGCCCCGCCAGGGTAGTCGGTGAGATGGACACCAGCTAGGACACTGCTGCAGGCGCCAGCGGCGGGTGCCGTCAGCACACCCACCGGCCTTGATGGTGAGCTCGTCGTTCATGTTGGCCTTGTAGTCGTAGAGCACCTTGCAGCGCCCGATGGACGGCGCCGGCTCCACAGGCGAGGGAGACGCCGTCAGCTGCTCGCTGGACGAGTCAGCTGGCGGCGGTGATGACGTCAGCGGGAGCTGCGTCGGCGGTGATTGGTCACCGTGACTGCTGAATTCGTCTGTTGGGCAAGGGCAACGGATGTTATGGTTGTTGCGCCTTGTGTTGGTCACTTCAAACAAACTCTAGGCCTCCAGCGTTTTTGGCGAAAAGCTGTTATTTTACACGGCGAAACAGCCAGGTGATGAATGGTGAAAAAGGCCGGCTTTCTATAGTATCTACAACTGAGGAAATCCCAAAAGCTACCACCGGGACCTTAACCAAAAATGTTGATCAAATAGGGGGCTATTCAGCAAGACTCATGCAGCTACAGATGTCGCTGCCACCTGCTGCTGCATCACAAAGGCATCGCTCTGGTATGGCGTGCGTACCGAAGTCTGACTCGTGCTGGTTGGAGGTGCCATCCGCCTTGCCCCGGTCGGTGGCCCAGTCCGGGGAGTCCTACGGTGAGAGGTTCAGCGGGTCCAGCCGCACCCAGTTCGGCGCCTGGCCGCCAGAGATGCCGCGCGAGCTGTTACCGACACCAGAAGTCCAGCCGTCTATAGTTACCATACCACCTAACGCGTACATAGTACTGTGGCCGTTCCAGCCACACAACGTAGCCCTAGAAACAGTCGACGGCTATCGGCGACTCCATTTGGCTTGCTGGCAATTTTCCGTGCGACTCACACCACCCGTAACCAGCGCCGCCGCACGACGGCCAGGCGTACTAACCTTGAGTACGCTCTGTGTCATGCCCTGCCGGTCCTTGTGGTGCTGGATGTGTTTGCTGAGCGGGTGCTGGGGCCGCGTCTGGCCTTCCACCTCTGCCAGCGCCACCTGGATCTTGTACCGACTCGCCTCCAGGTAGGCCAGCATAGCGCGCATCTGAGAGCGGCACAGTCGCGGCTCCGCTGAGGGCCAGGCGTCCGAGAACGACGCACAGACGCGGCTCCGCTGAGGACCAGGCGACCAAGAACGACGGCACAGACGCGGCTCCGCTGAGGACCAGGCGACCGAGAACGACGGCACAGACGCGGCTCCGCTGGGGACCAGGCGACCGAGAACGACGGCACTGACGCGGCTCCGCTGGGGACCAGGCGACCGAGAACGACGGCACAGACGCGGATCCGCTGGGGACCAGGCGACCGAGAACGACGGCACAGACGCGGCTCCGCTGAGAATCAGGCGACCGAGAACGACGAGCGTCCTTGTGGCATCAGTCTCAGGTCGGTGCGCACGGCAATGTGGCCTCAGCCATGACACAAATGTGTAAACCGTACGGCAGCAAGCTTAAAAGCGCAGCTCAAATGTCCTAGCACCCACTGTTTGACAGGCTGACTTTCGGACGCCATTGATGACTACCAGCGCTGTAAATAATCACTTTATGCTTTTGTAGACGGCCGCCACGTCGAAGACACCGAGGTTTTAGGTGCACTATTTTTGATGACCGCCCATCGCCAACACCGCGGTTCAACTCCTCGTGGACGCTGACAGGGAAACAACGAAACCTCGGAAATCGACAGACTAGACCTAGAGCTAAACAGAGCGGAAACAGACAGAACAGAGACTACAATTAGCAATGGAAAATGAATACGAAAATGGCATGGATTGACTGACGCTAAATTAGACCTCAAGATAATCGCAAGCTAAGTGACTCAACAAACGAGAAGCGAGCACTAAATCAAACTAGAAATGCAAACGGTGCACCGACTCCACCCGACCCTGTTAACCAAAAAAAAAGACATCACTTCGCAATCTTCCGTTGCAGCGCACGATCACAGCACGGCCGCAGAATGCCGACGCGGAGCCCGGCCGCAGAACACCGACGCAGAGCTCGGCCGCAGAGCCCGTCCGCATACATCTCGGCCGAAGAGCTCGGCCACGGAGCACAGCCACGGGGCTCGGCCACGGAGCCCAGCCGCGGACATCACGGCCACAGAGCTCGGCCGCGGGGCTCAGCCGCGGACAGCACAACCGCGGGCAGCACGGCCGCAGCGACGACCCATCTGCGAACGCTAGGCAAAACACACGACATACGCAGCACACGCAACCCACAGCGCGGTGTAAGTTCCGTGTAATTGTAATAATAAAGGACAGCTTCGGCTTGAGGCATGACTAGGGGACTGGAAAACAGGGTTCGTGAAGTCAGTGAGCAACACTCCAATGACATGTCATGCCCATGTGCACCGTCCCGTTAACAGGACACACCAACCGGTAGCGCTACACCGGTAGGCCTGCGAAGACATTGCCAAACACGACACCAGAAAAGCACCCAGGCAGTACATTTTATCCCATATAATCCAATTGCATTTCTGCCACATTTAGCCAAACTTAAGAAAATTTTAACCAACACTTAACTCGGACAATAGCGATCCGGTGGCCTGGAAGCTCTGCCAGAGCGCCGGGGGGCTGGCACAGGAGCAGGGGCCCTCGGAGACGCATCATGGACCAACACAGGAGCAGTCACGAGCCCATCAGGCACCAGCACAGGTGCGGTCAGTGGTCCATCTCCACCATCCGGAGCAGAAACGGGAACATCAAGCACATCAGGGGCGTGCTCACCCACATGTGTCTCCGGAACCGCAGCGGATATGTCCTGCACCTCTGACAGAACAGGCAGTCCCTGTCGAGAGAGGCGCCCGGCCACCCACAGCAACAGCCGCGGTTACCGAATTCTCGCCGGCTGGAAATGTGCCACGAGCAAATGGCGACAGGTACGAGTCGCCCTTCGGTGACACGCCATCTGGTGGCGGAGGTGACCGGGGTGAAGGCTGATCTCCAACCTCGTGGTCCGCAGATAACGCCGAGCCTGGAATAATCATGTCTGGGCCTGCGACAGGCACTGAGGGGTCATCGGAACGAGGTTTCAGTCTATTGTGGTGAACAACGACAGACTTTTTCCCTCCCAACACCCTCACCCTGTAATTGAGGTCAGACAGCTTAGCCATAACCACCGCAGGCTTCCATGGCCTGACAAACTTGTAGTACTGGCCTCGCTGAGCTACACTCTTGAACAGATGCACCGCGTCACCAGCCTGAAAGTGGTACATGGTCAGCTTCTTGTCGAGCAATCTCTTGTTGCGCGCACGACGCTTGTTTGAGGCCTGCAGCGCAAACTTGTGGGACAGTTTGATCCGCTCTGTGAGTCTGGACAGATACTCAGAAATCGTGGCGCACTTGGGGACAGCAGATGGTGCCTGGATTTGCACCGCAACTGGTAACCTAGGATTTCCGCCAAACATCAGGTAGCATGGAGAGTGTCCCAGCGAAGAATGTACCTTGGCTCTGTATCCGAGCATGAGCAGAGGCAAGTGAGCGTCCCAGTCGCCATGGTTCTCGTCCAAGTACTTTGCCAACACGTCCAGTATCGTTCGCATCATTCTCTCACACTTTGAATTCCCCTCAGGATGGAAAGCAGAGCAATGCGTTTTCTCAACGCCCAGCAATCGACAAACCTCAGCAAGAAGAGTGCCAGAGAAATTTGCAGCATTGTCTGAATGAATGCGGCGGGGGCACCCGAAACGCGCGATAAGTTGGTTGACAATCACATCAGCAACAGTGGCGGCAGTCATGTCGGGGACCGGAAACACTTCACACCAGCGAGTAAAATGATCACAGATCACCTGAAGATGCTTGTTCCCATGGGTGGTCGTGGGCAGGCCACATAGAAAATCGATAGACACAGTCTCAAAAGGTTCTTCGGCAAGCAATTCACCCATTGAAGCCCTTGGGCGCGGAATAGGAGTAGCTCGTGTGTTGCACTTCTCACACCGGCTGCAAAAATCTTTGATGACGGCCTCCATCCCGCACCACCAAAACTCGCGTCTCGCCGTTGACGTCAGCGACTCTGAGCCAAAATGGCCACCAGCAGGGCCGGCATGTAGGGACGTCAGTACACCGGGTATCAACTGTTTTGGGACAACCAGCTGTAGCTGGTCTTCACCACCAGCGCAAGTCCGATAGCAGGCGGAAGACAATACCATCGATAAGTCTCAGACGGTGCCATTGGCGCAAAAGTGGAATCGACTCAGTGTCGACAGAAGAGGATCTTGGTCTCTTGCCCAGAGATAAATGTTTCGCAGTCTCAGAAATTGCAGAATCCTGATCCTGCTCGTGTCGCGGGAAACTGTTTGACCAGGAATTCGGACACCTCACACACATGTTCATCAGTCTGGGTTTCGGCGTCACACGTCATTTGGGGACATCGACTCATCACATCGGCAGGGACATTCTCAACACCAGGTCTGAACACTACCTCAAAATCAAATGCAGAAAGTATTTCAAACCATCTCGCCAAAATTCCAGTAGGGTTTTTAAATGTCAGGAGCCAACGCAAGCTGGCATGGTCTGTGCGTAGCTCGAAACGATTCCCAATCAAATAATGCCTGAAATGTTCGACGAACACGACATACGCCAAAAGCTCTTTGCGGGTTGTGCTGTAATTACGCTGTGATTTGCTCAGTTTCTGAGAGGCATAGGCGGTCATCACACGGTCCTCACCGTCCTGCTCCTGAAAAAGGGTTGCCCCGATTCCCAGGTCAGATGCGTCAGTATCGAGACGGAGCCTTACCGCACCAGCCGAAAAACGCGGAAATGACACAACAGGCGCACACGACAGCGCTCGCTTCAGCATGTCAAACGCGCTTTGCGTTTCCTCAGTCCACACGAACTTTGTGTCTTTTTGGGCCAAGCGGAACAGGGGGGCAGCGATCTCAGCGAAGTTTCGTATGAACTTGCGAAAATAGGAAGGCAGCCCAAGGAAACTGCTTAGTTCCTTCTGTGTGCTCGGGCAGGGCCAGTCCACTACATTTTGGACCTTCTCCGGGTCGGTGGACACACCATTAGCGGACACCTACATGTCCCAAGAAATTCACATTTTTGGTGAAAAATGAGCATTTCTGTAGGTTCAGGGTAAGGCCAGCACTCTCAAAACGTTGCAGAACCGTGTCGAGTTTGGTAATGACGTCATCAAATCCACAGCCATGCACAATGATACCGTCAAAATAATGAACGAAGTCTCGGGGAGTCACATCTCCCAAAACGACGTCAAGAAGACGGGCACAGGTTGCAGGTGCCCCAGCCAAACCAAAAACCATGCGAGTATAACGATACGTGCCGAACGGTGTGGTAATGGTAGTTTTGTCCCTGTCTTTAGGATCCACGGCAACCTGAAAATATGCGTTGTTCATATCCAACTGGCAGAATGTGTCAGAGCCAGTCAATGCTTCAAGCGAATCATCAACTCTCGGTATGTGATATGCTGGTACCTTTGACACGGCGTTCAGGCGGCGCAAATCAGCAACCAGTCTGTATGCACCAGATTTCTTCTTCACCAGACAGGTCGGGAACGACCATGCACCATCAGCCTCCTCCAAAATACCTTGACTGACTAGCTCACGGAGCTGAGAATGCAGTTCGTCCGCCAGGTGAGGTGGAACACGCCTGGGGGGGCTGACGAATAGGGAGGATGGTCACCGGTATCAATCTCATGGGTGAACAGATCCGTAAACCCGATATGACCGTCAAAGATGTCAGCGTCTCGTTCGAGTAGCGACTCTAACTTACTTCTC